GGGCGGACCCTCCAAACACAGGCATTATTTGCTTAAATGGAGGTTCCAATCTACTAGTTTTTAAGGCATTACTTTTTAAAAACGAAATAAAATTTATTTATTATTATTATTATAACTACGTGTTTTTTTACGCGTTTTCTTTGAAATTGAGAGAAAGTGACTTTTTTATGAAGAGATTACAAACCTTTTGTACTATTTTTTGTTGTTAAAAAAATCATTTATATAAGTAGGTACAGCTAAATCACCCTGGAAACCTTGGTTTTTATTAAATTAAATTTTCACCTAATAATAACATTTGTAAATATCAAACAATGAAGAACCTTAATTTGAAAAAAAAAAAATAAGGTATATCATTCATTGATATTTACAAATGTTAAATATTATTTAATGTTATACAAATGTAAAAGTAAAGTCTATCTGAAAACGTCTAATTAGTAAGAATAGCAAAACAAGTGTTTTCAAAAGGAAAAAAACGCCGGCGCTATACGGCGGCGGATTGACAAAAGACTATTTATTAGCGAACTTTTTTTATGCATGAACGGTTTCGAACTGTTTCAAGCAAAGATAAACCTTATACCATATCACAAGAGCACATGGTATTTCGTAGGTCTATTCGGCCATATGATAGTAATAAGACGGCAGTTCAACCATTTTAAGCAAAATTAAACAATAAGACAAACGCATTGTTTTTTTTTAACAGGAGACTTGTTATCCAGAAATTTATTTACAACTTGAGTTTGTGAGCGATCGCAATAAGTGCTATTATTTGTTACTTATTAGACAATTTTTCCATAACATGATTTAAAACCCATAGAGTAAAAATAGTACCATGTACACGTTAAAAAAAGTTTGTTAACCCCTAAAAATTTCACTTTTTTAAAATATCCAGAAACGACGCTGCATGCATGAACTACTCGCAAAATAATGAATATTTTGTTCTGGATACATTTTCCAAAAAAGCAATTTGAGCGAGTTATAACGATTTAAAAAAAGACACGACTCGCGTGTCATACGCCACACAAAAAGTAATTGATGGCTCGCCTGGCGTGTCACCCGCACTGAACCGGTTAATGGAGGATAATTTAAATTTTAATTAAGGTTTTTCAAGTGAAACAAATATTGTATTCATTTCAAACATCCTTTAATACCTATTTAGCACTAATAACATTAATACTAAATAAGTCAACTCCCTTATATGCAATGTCACTTCATATTCTATCACAGTTGAACTGTCTTGATTTTTACAAATAACTAACCATGACTTGTATAAAGTTTTTGTTTTAAAATATTTATTTAAATGCTACTTATTTTGTGTTAAAATAATAGACCAATGATTTCACTGTACAACAGGAAGCATAGTTTACATTGATGGGAAACTCCTCTTACACAAGCAATGCAATATTTTCTTAGTGGTTTGCATTATTGTCATAAGGGAGACTAAGACCGATTTACACTTCGACAAGTACAGTAGGGAGGTTAACTTGCGAACCTGGCGAATTAAGTAAAAAACCGGCCAAGTGCGAGTCGGACTCGCGCACCGAGGGTTCCGAACAAATCCGTAGGTATATAAGTTTAAAATTATTAAAAATATTTCGCAATTTTTCTTTTATCTGTGCTATAATACGTTGCTTCGTACCAAATTTTAAGATTCTGACTTCACGGGAAGTACCGTGTAAGTTTTGATTCCCTTGCGAAGGTCGAAAATTTGCGGCATAAACGGCTGTATCTTTTGATTGCATTGGCTTAGAAGTTTGATTTTTTTCACAGCTCCAAGGAACAGTAGACTTGAGTATTTGATATGAATTTCAGCTTGATACCTCCACACGTTCCTGAGAAAAAAGGTCTTGACAGACAGACAGACGGACAACAAAGTGATCCTATAATGGTTCCGTTTTTTCCTTTTGAGGCACGGGACCCTATCACTCGTTTGTACGGCAATCAGGGAATTAAGTAGCAAGTTAACAATTAAGTTGAACGGGATAGTCAGCCGAGCTATTTTTCGGAGAGTTAAGTTCGAAGTGTTACCCTCCCGCGCGTCTCCCGCCAACCGCAACTAAAATCGCCACTTGTGTGAACGAGCGTGTTTAGTTCAGTGCATAAGTTGACAGTACGCAGCGTGTTCACGTTCGACCCTCAAAATATAAAATTGTACTTTTTTAACTAAACTCACCACAAAGACATTTGAATGCTACTGCCCAGTTAACCGTTTACTGTAAACTTCCCTGTAACTAAACTCGCTACTGTACTTGTCGAAGTGTAAATCGGCCCTTAGGGAAGGTAGGTATACATTGGTTGTAAAACTTTAAGGATTTTATTGTGTTTAAGACTATGGAAATTTAAAAATACATGAAACTCTATAAAATCGCGTAAAATTAGCTTAAAAATACATTTTTTCTTACAAAAATGGTTAGTTCTAATATTAGTTCTTATTATGATAGACTGTATGAGCACACATTATAACCTAAGTCACTACGATAAATAATTTATAGTATTTAAAATACTTAAATATTCTATCATAGTAACTGAGTGTATGTACTAACTAAATCTTAAAATAAAAGGAAATACCTAGTCATATTTTAATTTTTGTATCAACATGATGTACATTTTTTTTCAATTACTCATTGGTTATTTTACATAACAAAGTGTTGCATATCATATTATAGTTGCTATTTCTGTAATATTATTATTGATAGATACTTTTAACTGGCAGAGTAATCTTCAAAGTAGACTTAGTATCCAACATACACTAAATACATACAATAACAAATATATCTTTTTACATTGATTCAAATACCATACCATACCTCTCAGAATATTTTCATACAGATCATTTTGTCAAATTATAGTAACATAATATGATTTTAATTTTAACACAATGGCCATGTGTTAAAATTGTATTTATATATTAAGTTGGTACCAATATTAAAAAAAAACACTTATTATGTGAGAGTTAATAGACTATGTGTGATTTGTAAATTAAACACTAAATAGTGTGAAAAAATATATACAGCTGAAAATTTATTTGTGCACAACACCACTGTAATGTATTATAAACAGTTTTATAGACAAACAAACACAGTGCAACATGGTATATAATACTCCCAAAAATGAAAATTGTCAACAACCACTAAGGCCGGCCACATACATACGGGATTCCATTTCGGAATTTCAATTTCAGATTCGAACGTAACAAGTTCATATAAAATATATGACCCGTCACACACGTATGGTAGTATTTCGTTCGATATTTTGCGGGCAAAACGGAATTCCGTATGTATGTGAGCCAGCTTAAAAGAGGTCTCGCGCATTTTTGTGAACTATGAAATTTCCAGTAGTGTGCTTTGTGCAGCGCTTCATCATTTTCGGACAATTTACTTTGATTAACATATTTCATAAGAAAACTATTTTATTAATTGTGCCAAAAACCCCTTAAATTATTTTTTTTAGGCGATTTATTTAAATTTGCCATGGTAAATTAATAAATATATATTAGATTTGAAACTGAGCAAAATAGCCCTGTAAATGTTCTGGGGATATTTGGTGTACTGGGTGTTTTAATAATGGGTTTGAGCAAAATATATGATACTAATATTGTATGTACACTGCCGGCCAAAAGTTTAAGACCACACTTAAACAAAACTGTTCTACAGTGAAGACTTCTTAAAATGGGAAAAGCACGCGAAATTAGCAGTGAAGTGCGTTCTGCATTAGTTGTTTTACATCCGAACGTGAGATTGCTTTACAATTGAAATAATCGAAGACTTGTGTTCATGGCACAATAACTGGATACAGGCACTTTTCAAGATTATCCACGCTCGGGAAGGCCGAGATCTACTACGTCAAGTGAAGATCATTTCATTATTGTTACCAGCAAGCGAAATAACAGCTTAACAGCACCGGAAATTCGCGTTAAACAAAACCCGAGTTAAACCTTTATGACTGTATGACTTTGTAGTAAAACGGCGACTGAGAAATGCGAAATTGTATGGTCGTGTCAACGTTCGAATACTTCTGCTAAGGCCACAATACAAGAAAAAACGGATGCAATGGGCCCTTGCCCATCGATATTGGACTGAAGAAGATTTTAAAAAAGTTTTTTGGACCGATGAATTCAAGTTTGAGCTATTCGGTTCAAAACCAAGAATTTACGTTCGACGCAGTGACCAAGAAAAGATGATGCCAAACTGTGTAGTCCCAACAATCAAGCATGGCAGTGGCTCAATTATGGTCTGGGGTTGCTTTTCTAGCCAAGGAACTGGCGATTTGATCAAAATTGACGGAATTATGAAAAAGGAAGAGTACAATTTTTTTTTGAATAAAATGCCGTTCCTTTGGGGTTGTGATTAATAGGAGATGGATTCATTTTCCAACAGGACAATGATCCTAAGCATAGCTCAAAATTATGCAGAGGATATTTATAAGAGAAAGAGGCACAAGGGGTGTTAAAAACATGGTTTGGCCTCCTCAGAGCCCGGATCTCAATCCCATTGAACTTTTGTGGGAAGAGCTTGATAGGAACGTCTGTAATTGTGGTCCATCCTCGCGAGAAGAAATGTGGAATGCTTTGTGCGAAAGTTGGAGTAATATATCACAAGACACTATCAACAAATTGATTGCCCGCTATGCCGAGACTTGGGAAAAAAGTAATAGAATGCAAAGGAGGAGTTTTTGATGAAAAATCAGTTTACCAACTATAGCCTTTTTTAGCATGGACTGTTAATATTTCTTTACGCTTTTCAAGTATATTGATTGTCAAAAAGGGTTTTATTGGATGATTTAACAGTTTAAGCATTCAATATTTTATTGGAGTTTTATTTAATTTTTTACTTTAATTAAGGTGGTCTTAAACATTTGGCCTGCAGTGTATAAGTCATACTTAATATGTACATAAATCATCCTTAACTTCACTGGCTACCGTTAGATGTGATCCTCATAGAATGTAATATTGTTCAGTAAAAACTATCTTAAGAGGAGTTTAAGCACACCTCTGCAAAGAGGGTTTAATCCTCATTGTTTGCTTCATCGGGTGTTGGTGTATGCCAAGTGAGCCTCTCCTCATAGAATTGGATGACAACCTGGGGACAGCGTACATTGGCTTGCTTAGCGGGAACTAAATCAGCCTCATCTGTACCTTGCCACTTCATTAAGAACATCAGCTCACCACTGCTATCTGTAGCACCTGCAATACAAAGTAATATTTAGTCTTCAGGGGATGGCAATGTATCTGTCACTTCCTTTGTTTTAGTTGGTTGCAAGTGTTTCTTGGCTGTATTTGTCATTAGCCATTGGATAAACAGCATCTGTTTTGTGAATATATCAAAACAATGGAAGATATTGATAAATTGCTGGTAGATCTAAAAAAACCAGATAAAACAATTTATAAACCACATATATTCAACTGATGAACACAAGTCTTCTGTCATTAGGTCATTGGTCAAAATTGTATGAAGTGCAAAAATATTAGATAGGGGCATTCAAGTATTATGTAAGCAAGCTTAGGAGCAGGGGTTGGGTTAAATTTTTTCTTATTTTTTGTATTAAAAATCTTAAATCTTAAAATCTTAAATAATTACGGTTTCGCGAAAAAAATTAAAACCCATCAAAATTGTAGTAAACTCCACGCGGGCGAAGTCGCGAGAAACAGCTAGTTAGTAATACAATTTTTATTATTGTTTTTTTTTTTATAGGAGCGGGAGCAAACGAGCATACGGTTCACCTGATGGTATGTCACTACCGCCGCCCATGAACAACTGTAACACCAAGGGAATTGTAGGTGCGTTGCCAGCCTTTTAAAAAGGCGTACGCTCTTTTCTTGAATGTCCTCAAGCCGTATCGGTCCGGAAAAATTGCCGGTGGTAAGCGATTCCACAGAGAGGTGGTAAGCGATTCCACAGAGAGGTCGTACGCGGAAGAAAAGTCCTAGTGAAACGTACAGTGGTGGACCGTCAAGCATACAGATGGTGTGGATGGTATCGAAAGTTTTGCCGCGATGTGCGTTCGTGAAATTTGGGATGAAGCACTCTCCGTGGTTTATGCGAAAGAAAATGCAAAGGGATGCAACATCTCTTCGCAGCGCCAGTGAATAGCGCCGATCTAAAAGGGCTCTGTCGTCGACGATTCGGGCCGCTCTACGCTGGATACGGTCAAGTGGAAGGAGCTTTTAACGTGGTAGAGCCATGCTGCAGCTATATTAGTAGTATAGTTGTAGCACGAATGGGTCGGCTCGACCGGGGAAGGACTACGCTCTCACAGAATACCAGCGTAAAATAGCAGTCTAATACTGCTGTGATTCGTATGGTGAGTGGAGACCCTTTTTACTGTAAAAAAGGCATTCCATCTTAGTCCTCACGGGTGACAACGCATCTGCATTTCTATTCGCAATCGAGGATAGATGTAGACGTCTATGGGCCACAGCAACCACTTACCATCATGTGGACTGTGTGCTCGTTTGTCACCCTATCCTATAAAAAAAAGCTGGGCACTGGGGAGCTCCAGCCCAGAGATGGGAACAGTATTCCGTGTTAGACCGAACCTGACCGTGACCGTGTCGAAGGCGCGTTTTGTTCCACGCGCGCCTCAAAGAGCTGTCAGCAGCGTGAAGGGGCCCGCAAGGGCCGACGCCTGCCGGGGCTGCGGGCTGTTCGAAAGAGATACCGCGGCTCCGGAACGTAAGGGCACTGAAGGAACACGGATGGTTTTAGTCAGTAAAAGTCTGACACTCCCTTCCGCTCCACCCAGAGCGAAAGGCGTCATTTGATGATTTTCTATCCGCAAAAAAAGGCTGTGTGCCGGCATGAAATAACTGTCCCGCTCTGCTGAGCACGCCAAGCTTTTTAGAGGCCAATTTAGCCTTCTCTTCCAAGTGACCACGAAACTACACGTCATTCGATATGTCGACGCCGAGTATTCCGATACTGGCTGAGGCAACAAGGGGAGTGCCTTGAAACTGAGGAGATACGACAAAGGGGTTCTTTTTAGCGGTAAAGACCCAAACTTGTGTCTTCTGAGGATTAAACTGGACTAGATTTAGTCGCACCCAATCCGAGACTATGTTCAGCAAAGACTCGACTTCAGACACAAGTTTGTTCCGATACTCGGCGACGTTTTCCTGAGAAATATTGGCACGGCTGGTATATAGAGCATCACCAGTGTTGTCATTCGCATAGCAATGAATGTTACCGGTTTACAACATATCATTGATATGCAGAAGAAACAGCGTTGGTGATAGTACGCAGCCTTGTGGAAAACTAGCGTTAATAGGCTTGTAGTCGGAACATGCACCATCTACAATGACCTTGATGCTCCGATCTGCAAGAAAGCTGGCGATCCAATTGCACAATTTCTCAGGAAGCTCATAGAAGGGAGCTTCGAAAGAAGCGTTTTATGCCAAACCCGATCGAAGGCCTTCGCAATGTCCAAACTAACTGCCAATGCCTCCCCCTTGGACTCTACTGCCTCCGCCCATCTATGAGTCAGGTAGACCAGAAGATCACCAGCTGATCGACCCGGACAAAAACCGTATCGGCGGTCACTAATCAGCTGGTGATTCTCAAGGTATCGGTATGAGCTGGCAGTTTATGATGGATTCCATTATTTTTGAGAACAAGGAGGTGATGGCGATAGGCCTGTAGTTAGACGGGTCTGAGCGGTCGCTTTGTTTAGGGATTGGGTGGATAAAAGTAGTCTTCTATGATTTCAGGACTACGTTTAGGGAGTAGGAGTTCACGGATAGCATGGCAGGGCTCGCCTTGGTCTTGTTGTTCAGTTTGGCCCGAGCAGTTATTGTTTTGAGCGGAATTTTGCCCCCCCCCCCCGCAGAATACGTGGAACAGTCTGAGCATGGATGGCTCAGGAGTGGAGTAGCTTGATCGTGGATGCTCAGCGAGGGATTCTGCAGGGGTGCTGGTGGGGGCGGTAGTCCTTCATTTAATTTCGCTACCATGTTTTGGGGGGGGGGAATTGGGTCTCCAGCCACCTGCACTCACCAGACAAGCGCAGAAGTAGAGCTGCCACTTCACGCCGGTATTATGGGAAGTCGTGGTACCAATCCGGCTCGAGCCGGCCCATACGTGCAACAGCAAAGACTGCCGCGTGACTCTACCACCAGCCCGTGGACAGTAAATTATTCTTAATTCTGTTCTTGAAGTTTGCTTACGTAATACTTGATCACCCCCATACCATATGTCCCCGATTGGACATGCCCGGTTTCTTTTCCAAGGTTTTTCATCAACATCAGGCACATGGTAAAAGGTACTTAAAATTACAATTAAAAATTTCACCGGTGCCTATAGGGTTTATCCAATTTGGATTTTTTACAAACTAGTTGAACTACTCCTAAATGGCTGGACCGATTTTGATGAAATTTTGTGTGTGATTAAGTTGATTTGAGAATGCTTTAGATTCACAATTGGACCCGGTACGAGGCGCTGCTGTCGAGATCCAGAAATCACCCATGTGAAGCACAGAACAAAAAAATTCTTCTATGGATGCTTATCTTCTTTAAAAGTTACAGCCTATATATGTATCACTGCTAGGCCTCTCAGGAGAGGGTTTTAGGGCAAGGAAGTGTCCGCCGCACTGTCCTAACGCGTGTTGGCGAGCTTCATGTCTTCGAAATAATTTTTTTCTCATGTCTCAGACATGCAGGTTTATTCACGTTGTTTTCTTTCACTGCCAGGCACATGGTAAATCAGCACTTAAAATTGAAATAAACAATTCCATTGGTGCCGGTGGGGATCGAACCCGGTTTGCTACCATAATATAAAATTTAAATTGAACAATAAGCATCTGAGCTGCCACGGCTCTCTATATTATCTATTATGTTATCTTCTTTTGGAATTTAATATTAATTCCACTTACCAATGATCTTTTCTGGCTCAAGACCACGATCAAAGCCGGAAGATTTTTTTTCATCACTCTTTGACTTTTTGGCTCCTTTTAAATCTGGCGTCGCCGCAGTAGACTTACGTTTTTTAGGATCTTTCTCAACCTTACTGGTTTTACCCTCTGTAAATAATGAATGTGAGGAGGTTAATAGTCAAACTATACAACAGGATGTGTATATTATACTTAAATTTTTCTTAAATAATTATTAACTATTACTTAATTTAAGTAAATACCCACCAGCTTCCTTTTTTTTCCTAGCTTCTTCAAATGCTTGTATTAGATCAGGACAGTCTAGGTTTTCTTCTGGTTCCCATGTGTTATCCTCATCACTGTATCCGTTCCACTTCAAAAAATATTCAACCTGAAATAAAGGAATACATTATGAAATAAAATTAAAAAAATTATAATAATAATTTTATAGTAGTCGTAGTAGTGTGACACCCCCTGGCTAGATGGGGCAATGATCTGTGCAAGGTGGCTGGCAGCAACTGGATGCGTGAAGCCGAAGTCAGGCTAAGATAGTAGGTGGCGCTATTTAAGCAGTAAACATAAGCTCTGTATAATTTTTGTTTCAAAAATATTATAAACAATCTTTACTGAACCTTTCTATAACTTAAGTACAAATTCTAACATAATTAAGTGTGTTGAGTGTTATATTGCTGATTTGAGCTAGATTATAACTGTGAAGTTAATATAAGTAATCCAGTGAATCCAGTGAACTATAAATTGTTATTATATTAAATTTATTGCAATAAGACAGTGCTTTCTAAAGTAAAATGCTAAGGAATAGTATGAACAAACTAAGTGACAATGCTATCAACATTTTATTTTTGTTTTAAAGTGAAAAAACATTAATTTAGTATTAAAGTGACGGTTACAGTAGTTTTAAAAAGGTAAAATTTATGTACATCTGATTAAATAAGCGACATCTATGATTAATTGATTACCAAAGGAGAGTAACTTATTGTGTATTATTATGCCATCTATTAATTACTGGCAAAATTAAAAAAATTATCACTTACATCTATATATATATATATATATATATATTAGAAGTATGCACATTTGTTAAAAAGAATATGCACTTTTTTCCAATATACTCCCGGCCTCCTTTTTTGTCCTAATAATAAATAAGATCCACCTATCACAAAATTACAAGCAGTCAAATCAGGACCCTATGGTATCCGTGTAAAAATTTATAATAAAATCCCTAAATGTCTACAAAACGAAGAATCATTAAATAAATTTCAAAGAGAGCTTGAAAATATTTAATTGAAAATATATACGTTTTTATTATCAACTAGCTGTTCCCCGCAACTTCGCCCCCATGTGGAGTTATTTTTCGTGGAATCCTAAAATAAAAGCAGCCCAAGTTACTCCTTGTAACATCAGATATCTGCTAGTGTGTATAAATATTGACATTAATATTTATATGATACTAACGTCACTCAATTGTTTAGCCTTACCGTAACACCTCCACTAACACTTAAACTTTATGGTATGGTATTAAAGTTCAAATTGACTTTTAAGTATTATTACAAATCTTTTGTATGGGAATATAGAAAAGTTATTTTTAGACGTTTTCAGGCAATTTTTTAATTTTTCCTCTCCGTAAGAACCATCTTCGTACTTCAAGGAATATTATAAAAAAATAATTAGCGAAATCGGTTCAGCTGCTCTCGAGATTTGCACTTAGCAACACATTCAGCAGTTCATTTTTATATTATAGATGTATTAGCAATTATTGCAAATGTTTATTAAGCCCAAAAATAATGTTTAGTTTAAGTAAATAAAATAACTAATTCTTCTTTCTAAATCAATTAAATTAAATTGATATATAATATTGCTATGCTCTATCAGGGCTCATGTTTGGCTCTGTTATATCCAACATAAGGACTATTTATGTAACCACATGAATGCAATAAAATGTTTGAGTATGAGTTTAAGTGGCGTGCCCTGGGAGAGGCCTATGTCAAACAGTGGACTGCTTGAAGAAAATAAGTTGCAAGCCTCAAATTTAGTTATACAACCTGATTCTTGACCCATACTGTTTGGTTTATTCGTTTTAGATATAATTGTGAACCCAGCAGTAGAAAACAAATTATCAGCAAACTGCTTGACTAGCATTTCAACCAAAAAGTACAAAAGAATATCTTGAATAAATAGATACTAACAATATTTTAATCTTACAACCTCCTCAAACAATGCACAATAATTAGTGATAGTGAATCCTATCATCGTAACTAAATTGATAAGCCTAACTTAGGCGAAAAAAAGGCAGATTTGGTAATATTACACAAATTTTATATGTATTAACCACGCACAGATAGTTTGCTGATGAAGTCACATGTCGATGGTTAGTACGGTTGACAAAAAGACATGTAACTAAAATAGTGGTTGCAAATGCAATAAATCAATAAAAGAAAACTAAAAAAAAAAACATTGGGAGTTGTTACTAAGATTTATAAATAAGCAAATCTTTTTGTTTTTCCTTCTCAAAAAACGTTTAAAATAATAACACATCCACCACCACAATAGGCTTTCCCTTAATCCATTTTGATAAAAAAATAACACTAACATAAACAAACAAAAAGTTAAAAAGAAAACAATGAATAAGTTTGGTGCGAGAGCAATAAAGTCAATGATGTTGCACATGTGAGCACACAACTACTTTGTTAACGGTACTAACTAGTCGAGCACGGGAAACAGTCGACAGAGGCAAGAAGGATAGTCATCAGCAAAAATTCTACGCATGGCTAATATATATAAATCAGATATGACTTTACTAAAAGCATGAGTTATAAAAATTTGTGAGTAAATAAATTTCCAAAACTACCATATGAAATAGATATCTGGCACTTGAGCATGGTCATATGGATAATGATTTGTTTAGTTTAATTTTTAGTGACACTGATGAATAAATTAATGTGAAAACAGGCATATTATTTTATAGCAACATAGAGACCAACTAAATAAACTCTTATTAGTACACTTGAATTATGTTATAATATTAGTTAGATTTTGTACCTTTCCATTTCTTACTCTTCGGTCTAAAACTTTCTCAACTGAGAATTCATCTTCTACTTCAGGTTCTCCTTCCTTCTTTTTTTCCGCCATCTAATTAAAAAAGAAGAAGATTTGGTTACTTTGAATCATATTACAATATGTATGAAATCTATACAAATAAATAAAATTGAAGTGTCTGTTTGTAATGTTAAAATAACAGCTTTTTACCAAATGCATATGAAAGTACATATGGTACTAATAACAAAAAAACAATTTTAAAAATTTTTGTCTGTCCGTCTGTATGTGTTTTTTTTTGTCCCGGCTAATCTCCGAAACGGCTAGACCGATTTTGACGGGACTTTCACTGGCAAATAGCTGACGTTATAAGGAGTAACTTAGGATAGCTTTATTTAAAAAAAAATATTAGGGATCCGCGCAAAAAAAAATTACAACACATGAAATTGTAGTAAATTTCACGCGGGCGAAGTCGAGGGGGACAGCTAGTTTTAAGATAAAGCCATAGTCTGTAATAACATGAACATATTGTCAAAGACGATTAAATTTGTTTTTTTGTAAGTTCAAAGTGCACACAAAACTGAGTATAATAATTATATATACACATCAACTTTTTAATATACCATACCCGATTTATCCCGCCATTTTGATTAATACCACGCAATATTTATTATTTTACGACTGTTGGACTCTATTTGACTAGAAATGTTAAAAAAAAAACTAAATTAACTAAGTTTTTTGTTATTTACGAATTCACACAGAAATCTATAAAATACGTAAGTATTTACCTCCAAACTCCAAAATATAATCTCAAAACACAGCAACAAACCGGCGTGTATAAAATCACTTTGTTTTTTTTAATAACTGGCTGTGGCAGTGTTACCAGATGAGACAAATGATATTACAGTGTTTCATGCTCAAATTTACAGTGTTTACGACAAAATTACAGTAAAAGTAAAAAAAAAATACAGTGAATTTTACAGTAGATTTCAAGAAACTTTTATTATCTTTTATAAACTAAAATACTGTTTTAATTTCACATTTTGTAATTTAGAATAAGCATAATACCTATATATAATTATACACGTGGTGTTTACATGGTAGAGCCACGCTGCAGCTATATTAGTAGTATAGTTGTAGCACGAATAGGTCGGCTCGACCGGGGAAGGACCACGCTCTCACAGAATACCAGCGTCAAATAGCAGTTTAACATTGCTGTGTTTCGTATGGTGGGTGTAGAGAACCGAAAACCCTTTTTACTGAAAAAGATGCATTCTATCTTAGTCCTCACGAGTGACAGCGCATCTGCGTTTTGATTCGCAAACGAAGATAAATGTAGATGTCCATGGGCCACTGCATACTAATTTAAGTTAGTCCCAATAGGCTTGAAAACAAAATTAAAACACCGTTGACACAATTTGGGTGGTTAATACTAAGAAGTGGTTTTAGTCTATGACGGGTAATTCCGCGTAGTATCCACCGCCGCCGCTAATCATGCCCGTTTAAAGTAAGAGATATTCGTTCTTATTACAATAGAAACAAGGGTTGTGACATATGCAGAGAGGTGGCGCGGGCTCTAGTAGTCAGTTGCGTTTTGTTATGTTCATGTTATTTTTTCTTTTCACAAAGACTGCGTTCAGTTTACATTAAACTATTTAGATTTTTGCCTGTAGAAAATTACAGTGCTCTCCATACACTGTAATTTTAGTATTACAGTAGACAGTAGATCGTGTGAAAATACAGTAAATCTGCTGTAATTACAGTGTATCTGGCAACGCTGGGCTGTGGCCAAAGGCTGTGGGTTTACGGTTTACGGCTCTGGGTTCTAGCCCTTCTGAACTTTAAGTTACAAATACAATGCATAATATATGTAATTATGCTTCATAGTAAACGTAGTGATTATATTCCCTTTAATGTATAAAAATAAAAATTCTTTTACAACAAAATAAAACATTTTTTTTAATTTTCCTTTTTATAATCTCTTTTATTCTTTCTTTATAATCTCTTTTATTTCGTTAAGCATTTCACAATTTGCATAAGGTAGGGAGCGTCTTTTAAGCACCTTAAGGCACTTGTGTCAGAGACTCCCGCTCTTCCATAGCTATACAAAACTTTCTAGAAACATATAATTACATATTATACAAAAAAAAAGAAAACTAAAAAAAAGTAGTTTAAAATTATTCAACAATAAATGTTTGTGTGTGAGTGTGTGCGTGTGTGTGTATGTGTGTGTATGTGCGTGTGTTTGTGTGCATGTGTGTGTTTTTTTTGGGAAATATTATTTTCACCTTATGTGTTGAAACATAAAAGTTTTTCTGTGCTTTCGTAAGACAGGATTTTCAGCCAATTTATAATTAATAACTTGCAGTCCTTGGTATTTCTACAGTAAATATTAAGATTTTTGTTGACAGAGTTATACAGATAGATAGATTGGTTAATGAACTGATGTCTAGCAAATGCAGTTTTAACACGAAAAGAGTTAAGTAAAATGTCTTTTCTTCTTTTATGCAAAATATTTGGGTCATAAAAGAAATCTTTATGCTTTTTTAATATTGTGTGTAAAATATATAATTTTCTTACACGTAGTACATCAGATTTTAAATATAGGCTCTCTGTTGGGAATTTATAAGGCAAAAAGTACATTGTCTTTACTAAGGCACGCTGAGCTCTTTCCAATTGCAATAATTTTGTTTTTGTTGCTCCACCCCATATCGGAAGGCAGTATGTTAATAACGATTGGGCTAAAGCTACATAAATTTTGTTAATAAGATTATCTGAAGTAATATGTCTAAGCTTTTTAAAAATCCAGGTTAATTTTCTAAATCTACATGTTATTATATCAATATGTTCATGCCAAGTTAAACGTTGATCTATAATGATTCCTAGGTACTAGGTTGAAGAAACTTTTGTAATGACAGAGCAGTTACAGTTTTGAGATTTGTCAATGCTGCAAGTGTGAATCTTTATGTTGAAGTTATTTCCCGGTTGGGTACTATTTTTAATAGTAAAACAAATATAATTAGTTTTAAGTGCATTAATTGTCAGAAAATTGGATTGAAGCCAGCTTGAAATTTTAGTGAGGCCAGATTCTGTACCTTTACGGATGTCAAACTACAGCAGTATCATCGGCATATGTGAATACTCGGGCACCATCAATTTTCAGATTACAAAGATCATTGATATAAATTAAAAACAAAGTTGGGCCTAAAATACTGCCTTGTGGTATACCGTAGGTAGTATATGTGTCCGCACTAATAAACTGATCTATTTAAACTTTTTGTGTACGGTTTAATAAGTAGTTTTTAAACAATGTCAAGGTTGTATCCCTTATGCCAATATTTTCTAATTCTTGTAAAAGGATGGGGACACAGATAGCATCAAAGGCCTTTTTGAGGTCTAGAAAGACTGCAAGACATTTTTTACCCTGATCCAAGTTGTTAAATATGAACGAGCTAAGAGCTAAGATTGCATCTTCTGTGGATTTACCTTGTCTGAAACCATACTGACAGTTAGACAAAATATCGAACTTAGTAAGATAACTTAAAAGTCTTGTGTTGATAAGCTTTTCTAATATTTTGGAAATCGAAGGTAGTACTAAAATTGGTCTATAGTTGCTAGCATCACCTCTATCCCCATACTTATAGACTGGTGTTATAGCAGCTCATTTTAAAGGTTCAGGAAAAACGCCATGCTTAAAACAAAGGTTTACAAAGTGGCAGATTATAGGAGTGATTTGAGTTACTGTAAGTTTTAGAAAGTGCACTGGAATATTATCCCATCCAGGAGCACTGTTTGATTTTAGGTTCACGATGATATACCTCTTGAGGATCCGTATCTAGCAAGACAAAGGAAGAAAGCTGGGGCTGCCCTAATACTGTTGGATATTTACTATCATTATTTCTAGTTATAATATTTTTGGCAAGATTTTTACCTACATTGGCAAAAAAGTTATTAACATAATTTACCGAATCTAATGGTGTTGCTTTTATATGTAGTAAATCTGTATTACTTAATTTTGTTTGATTTAGATGTGCTATCCTTTTAATATTATTCCAAAGACTTTTACTGTTATTGAGGGACATCCTCAGGACCTGTCTTTCATAGCTTTGTTTGGCTTTTTTATTACAATAGTTACGATATCTCTTATATATAATTATTTGAATTTCATTGTGAGGATCGGAAGGTAACTTTTTTTGCAAATTGTTGCGATTTCTAATACAACGCACAATACCAGCAGTTATCCAAGGTTTTAATATGCGTTTATTTTTTGGAAGACGCACTTTGTATTTTCTTGTAAGGATTCGCTCAATTTATTAACTAATGTTTCTATAACTGTATGGGGATTTTCACAAAAAAGTAATTCATTGATATTCTTTTGTAATAAATTGTTAAGAGCATTTTTAAAATCTGTGATTGTTTTTGTCTTTGTGCATTCATTTAATAATTTTAAGTTGGACAGGTTTAGTAGTATTATTGAGTGATCAGTAATTGTTGTAAGTAAGATAGCAATTTGAGCATAGACCTTACCTTGTATTAGCTTTAGAATAAAATGATCTAGGCAACTACTTTCTTTTGTCGGTGAGTAATGACCAGGTATTAAGCCGTGCATACTTAACATATTTAAATAATTCTCTCTGTTACTACGTTCATACGAATTTTCATTTATTTTAGGTGCAATGTTAATGTTTATGTCACCAGCTAGAATTATGATTTCTTTTGATTTAATGTTTTCTAAGTATAAACTTAATGAATTTGTTGGCATTTGTGTTTGAAGGAGAGCGGTATATTGCTAAAATAGTGTTATTATATATCTCTATTTCTAAGCATGAAGCGTGTTCTAACATTATTTCTTTAACCTTAGCATTTATAGTATTTTTGATATACACTACTACTCCATCACTCTGGTTAAGATGACATGTTGTAGCAAAATGAGTATAGTTAGAAATAAATGGAATTGTTTTGTGGAGGCTTAGTCGGTATTTAGTCAAAATCAAAATATCAGGTTTAAATTTCAAAAAAGATAGAGTTAAATTTAGGTCATCTATGTTACTATACACACTTCTTATATTTTGAGATATTATAGTCATTATTTTTCACAGAAATGTAATTTGAAAGGTCTTCAATGTCGCACTCAATAACGTTTGCAATTTCGATGTCATCCAATTCTTTCCAGGTAATTAGGGAATTGTCCATTTTAAAAGTAGTAAAATTAACTGTCGTTTGCATGAGTATAAATACGTGTATATACCTATTGTGCATAATATAATGTATATATTTACAGATAAAAAGGCATGTTCGAATCCAAATATATTAATTACACTTCCCGTATACTGTTCTATTTGATTAAAATTTTTCATTTTACAATTGAGTTGTATTTTAATGATAGTATTATATATAATGAATTTTTGTGAAAGTGATAGGGTTTTAATAAGTGTAAGTCTAAATTGTGTGTTAGAGTGTATAAGTTGTGTGTAGTACATATAAATATTAAAGATTATTGAATTAATTACATTTCTTAGAAAAAACTTACGCACTAAAAGAAATACAGAAAAAGGTAAAATAATTTCATTATTCCGGAGAAATTGCGCTTTCTGATCTAGTCATGCAGTCTGCAGTAACTGGTGAACCTGGGCTTCGTTCTTGATGGTTATTATTTGCGAAGCCTCATCCTTGCGTATATAAACTTTTCCATAGGCAGTCCAACAAAACTTGTACTTTTTTGATTTGACAAGTTCTCGATCCAGGAAGTGTAATTGTGTGCTTTTAGCAGTTAGATGGTCGGTTATGTATATAGGAGTATCTTCAGCCGTCCGAAAGCCAAGATGTTTTACACACAGTTTAATTTTGTGCCTGTTATTAAAAGATTTTGCCAATTTTAATGTGTTACTTTTTAGCAATGTTGATGACGTCTCTACCACAATAGGAGTATTTCGGATATCTTCTCTTTTGCTACGAATACGATATATATCTCTAATATCTGCTTCGGTAAAGTTACTCCCAATACTTTTGGATAAATACATTACCATATCTATTAAGTCCTCCTTTGATTCATTCACTTTTTTGGGAACATTTTTCATTTCAAAATTCATCTTACGCCTTCCCATTTGCATATCCTCAATTTTGTCCTCCAGTAACGTTATATATTTCCTGTCTTCTTTTATTTGGTTTTCCAAGCATGCAATTTTTCGTCTAAACTCCTCATTTTGTGCAGTAAGAAACGTAATGGAGCTCTCGATATTTAAGTTTGTTTGTTGTATATTGTTTAATGTAGGTGTAATTTTTTTAAGTTCTTGTTCTTGCGGGGCAAGTAAAGTAGCAATCATTTTCTTAATTTCATCCTTGAAATTATTTAATTCTATTGAAATATCATCTTCCCTACGGCGTTTGCTGCGCATGGACACAAAATTAGGTGGCGTATTCTCTCTTTGTCCCGCTTGACACAAATCAGTTTCAGAAAAGGATTTATCCATATTGGAGATATATAGATCTAGAGTATAACATCTCAAATTTTTTCCGGTATAAGTAAATCATGAAAGTAAAAACCACTTAATATATTGTGTGTGGGCGCCCTTATTTTTGTCAAAGCTTGTCCTATTAGATCAACCACACAATAACAATACGCTATACAAAAAAAAAATGTTTCCGATGTGACGAGTCACACCGATAGGCAAATACCTATCAAATGTACCTTTA